TATATATAATTTATAAATTTCACACGAAAGAGATGTATCGCAAAATAGGTTTACCTTTTAGAATACACGCGCGAGCTTCAGCGGCTTCATAGGAAAGTCCGGCGGAATTTATGTAGTTAGTTTTCTCATTTAATTCGGGCAACGAAAAGTTCAATTTGCCACTTGGTAGATCGACCGTTGTCGGACACCAAAAACTCGGCACTTTTATCATACCCTTGGTGCCGCAGATATACGCCTCATTTGGTAAATTGACCAATGCTTGTGTCATGATGGTCGCGGTACGATCTCCTTTGTAGAGCAAGGTAGCAGACATGGATAAATCGACGCCATTCTCGTTTAGAACACCGGAAGCTTTTATACTCTCCGGCATCTCATTGTTGTAGGCCAAACAGGCGAATTGCAAACAGTAAATGCCAAGATCCATAACCGTGCCGCCGCCCAGTTCCTTTTTACTGAAACGAGCAAATCATGCAAAATTTATTTTTGATTAATTAATTCAGAGACAAACAGCCTAAAAAAAATTAATCATTTCACCGTCCTTCAGGCAATCGCCATCTTTTTTATTTCGCTTTTTCTATATTTTAACTTAATAAACATTATACAAACCTTATCCGATCTATGTTAGGCATTCCAAAACCAAAGGACGCGGTCACTTGATAAATGTCACCGATATTGCCAGATGCGAGTTCCTTCCTGATGGCGTCGTACACGGGGAAGCAGCGGCTCCATACAGCCTCCATCAAGAACAACTTCTTGCGTCTCGCATAATTGATCAATTCTGTAGTCTGTTTCAAATTCAATGTCAACGGTTTCTCACACAGAACGTGCTTGCCATGTTGCAGCATCAGCATCGCGATATCGAAATGTTGAGGATGAATTATACCAATGTATACAATGTCTTAAAAAAAAAAAAAAAAAAACGGTAGATATAAATGTTTTTCTCTCTCCACGCAACAAAATTACCCTTGATATATATTCATCTTTATACGCAATATTATGCTTTAAATATTTCTATCTAGACTTTATGTTAAAGTTTAGATGGAAATTTTCTTGCAGCGATAGATGCGTAGAATACGAGTTCTTATTAATACGAGTTAATAAAAGCGAAAGATCCGGTGTTATTGTGCGTGCGATATACCAATATCTTCATTCAAAGCCAATTTCTCGTAATCATCATAGGCCTTTTGAATCTTATGGAGGTTCGCAAAATCTTCCGCGCGCGACAATTGTTGCGCCGCGACGGCGATTATCTCGTGCTCGTTCGCCGGCAAAGTACGCAACGCTATTGTGAAATCGTGCGCGATCTTCCCCGCACTGGCGATGCCCCATCGTAGAGTAGCCATCTAAATCCGAATACAAAATAATTGTTAATTTGTTAAATTGATGTATACACATGTACGAGATATCAATTCTTTCAATGCGTATATCTTTCGATATCTCTGGCAAAAGGAAAATTTTATTCTCTTGCGCTCTGGAAACTGTCATTTTTCTTTCATAAAATTTGAGGAAAAAATGATATTGAAAATCTAGTGTATATTAAAAAATTAGCAATAACGTAATGTAATATTTCTATAAGAATCAATGTATGTTATATATGAGAAAGAAATGTTTTTCGAAAACAATCTTAGTGATGAAGTTTTTGAAGGAAAAGTGGTGTCAGAAAGATTCTAAATTTTTTTTGATAACTATATATAAAAATATATATAATAATTCTTTTTATATCATAAAAACAAATAAAACTAAAAGAAAGCAATACAAAAAAGAATTGATATTTAAAAAGGTTATCTCTCTATAGCAATATGTATTTTTCTTGAGCATTATCAGATAAATGCGTAATAACAAACTCCAATATATCCAAACAATCATTTAAATAACTAAAAAAACCAATTTTTTTCTACGTTATTCAATATTTGTAAGCATTTTTAAATATTCTCGATTCGAATTTCAGTTATTGATATATTCGATATAATTTTGCCGAATTTAAATTTTCGATATCATGTGGATATGAAAAAATATATACTTTATGCCATTTTTAATTAATTTAAGATCATTTTCTCTCTTTTCTCCGCATCTAGATTTGAAATCCTATTTATAATGACTTTTATTGGTTTCATTGACATTCTGTCGGTATTTTCGTTTATCTTTATATTGTCTATTTTTGTATGTAGCTTAACCTAATTTTTATAATTTAGTCCTTATTTGTGGAAACACATTTTTAAGATCTTTTATTACAAAGAAACAACGAAAGAAATTTGACAATTTCCAAAAGTAAAAAATCCTTTAAAGTAAAAAGAGATAAATATACTCACACTGTCGCAAAATTGAAGTACTTGTCACGACACACTCGAGTTTACTAATCAGCTCTCGCATATAGAAGCCACTGATGCCAGAATTGAGACGCGAGCAACACGACTCCGTACTGGTGGGGATACACACACAAGCGTTAGAAGCCGCTTATATTACCGGCTTGTATGCGTGTTTTATCTTACTCATCGACTTTTAGCGCCGATCTACAATAGGGGGTTTAAGCCCTAAGCCTTAAGAAATTGACTAATCACAGTCGAGTATTCTCCTCATACTTGATTGTGATTGGTCAATTTCTTAAAGCTTAGGGCTTAAATCACCTATTGTAGACCGGCACTTAATCGACCTCCAACGTTACGGATAAAAGCCGTTAAGAAAATGTTTAGTTTATCATTTATTTGTACATTTCCACACGCTTGATTTTAAATTATGTAATTATCTTATTTTGCTGACATAATCTATTATTTGTCATGTCACACCAAGTATAGAAAATACTTGATATAAAATATCTATAAGTAAAACAAATATAATCATATATTTTTGAAAGGATTATGAAATACACACACGTAAATATACACCTCAAATCTATATGTAATCCTAAATAAATCTAATACATAACATATGTAAGGAACTTTATTTTCTCTTACAAGTTAACCTAAACTAACCTAAGAATTGTTCCGTGATTATTTTTCCGTAATTCTTAATCGATGAAAATATTTTTCTATATATGATTAATTTAGGTCACGTATTTTGTTGTAAATATGGTTATCTCTCTCAAGGGAAATATTTTACATAAAGCTCGTCCACGTAATAATGCGTGAGGCACTGGTCCATATACTCTTGAATCTGTAGAATTATTACTGTTATCACCTTCTAACCAAACATATCCATAAGGTATCTGAAAATAAGATATACATCATTAGTACATACAATAATTAATGTTATTTGTAAATTATGATTTATAATAATATGATTAATGAGCAGAAAAAAGATATATGCAAAATAATAAATACATAATTCATCTATAAAATTTACCGTCGTTATATTCAGGCCATTCCTTATGTTATCGCCGGGCAAGCCTACAATTCGCTTGCATATATTTTGTTTCGGATTGGTAGGACATTTAGAAATGACAATGTCGCCTTTCTTGAGCCTTTGTAATCTAACCGATATTCGTTCCATAATTAATACATCGTTAGTATATAATGTAGGTTCCATGGATGGACCACTGCACTGTAATTATCGACATGCATGCAGCATATTTATCTCACATATTTTTCCCTTATAAAAGATGTATAAATTGATATATAGATTTTATATATATATATAAATATATGTTCTATATTATATAAAATATACAAAGTCGCACATACAACATGACAAATTTTATTTATAAAAAATAAATTTACTATATATTATTTACTCTCTCGCTTTTATGAAACTTATACAACCGATTCTTTTGTTTCAAGACAGATAATAATACGATGCGTTAAGTCTTGATTTTTTATTATATAGAGAAAATTTTCAAAACTATAGAATTAAAAAGAAATCGTTTTTCAAGGATGAAAAAAAATACGAAATATCAGACCTTACATCTCGGTGTAAATTTCTCAAAAAATATATCGCGCTATATATATATATTAATACATACCACAACGATATCTCCTACATATTCGTACATGCAGTACGTCACACACGCACATTGCACGAATCCGCGTGTAACCTTAGACATGAATTTATTCAGCTTTAACATCATGTATAACGGATTGCCACTCGTCTCGACGAGGAAGATTCACGTAAAATGCTTCTCCTCATCTGATCTGTCAAAATCGTGTACATAACTTGTGAATATCTCTCTTATGTCAAAACATGAAATCATATATATAATCCATTCAACCTCGCTTGTATCTAACATCTAACTCGACATTGCAAGTGTCATTTTGCATCTTGATGGGTCTGTTCCTTTTAGTTGCATATGTTGCTGTATACTTTCTGCTAGAGATGGGCCACGAAAGTGTCGCGAATTGTACAAATACATTTAAAAGAAAGTATGTATATATATATATATTTAGATAATATATATCGGAGGAAGAAAGAACAATTTAAAAAGAAACTATACATAATGCGTTGCTAAATAAATAAAATGAATAAATCTTATAAAATTCATGAAAATGTGTGCATTATACGTGTTATAAATTGCATAACGATACGCGCATAAAGCAACGCAATCCTGCCAACTGAGAAAAAATTCATATCATTGATCGCGCTCCGAAAATTTCGCTTTACATCGGACTTTTGTCCAGACACGTGTGAAGCGGCAAGTTGTAATAAATGACAATTATTCAAATAATACAATTGTAATTACGAAAAAACGTATATTATTTCTATATTATTTTTAAGCATTCTCGACTCGAATTGCAATTATCGTGGAAATTGAAACCGACATCTATGTAGATTTCGCCGAATTGGCATATGCGATAACGATCTTTATTCGCGAATGGATGAAACGTGATATTTGAGATAACGCCCTTTTTCGAAAATTGATGACATTTAAATGATATCGCTGTCGATTCTAGGCATAAATATATGTCTGGGGAAAAAAAAAAACCTGATTAATCGCTACGTTTGCTATGACGTGTAGCAATATAGAATTCTTTGAATTAGATCAAACTAATTTTTTTACATTCTATATATCCGTGGAAATTTATTTGAAAAGATTTTGAAAAAGAAATCTGTTTCTTTTAGCGCGTAAAAATGAAACAAGTATACCTTGAGGCACAGCAGGGGAGGAGGAAATTTGCGATAGAAAATACACGCGTAAAGGATGTAGTTGGAAGGAGAGAATATCTCATCTCGCGCGATTATATTTCGCTTCCAGGGGAAGATGGATTGATCCCGATATTATCCTGGAACTCTCGCGAAAAGATGCCGGCGATGGGCGGATTTTCACGGACGAATCGAACTGGAGCAACAACTGGCACGGGTTTGACGGAGCGTCGCGCAGAATCTCGCGATATCTCGCTAGGAATCACCCCCTTAATCGGGCACCGTCGGCGAATCTCGGGCTCGGCTCGCGGTCGTGTCCCTCGGCCCGTTCCTGCGCCTGTGTATGAATATCTCGCGTTTAGTTTAGTGTCTAGCACAGGTTACGGTCCGACCGACGGACCGGGATATCACACGACGTGCGCGATATCGCGACAAGTGTCGACGGCTCGGTTCAGAGTGGTATATAGGAGGTAAAAAGGCTGACATAAACGGATAAACGCGCGCGCGACGTTGAAGGGGAGTGACACGCGACGTGGTGCGTGGTGCGCCCGCCCGTACGCACGCACGGCGTCGAGAACGCGCGACCGACCGCACGCACGCACACGCAACACACACACACAACACATACATACATACATATACATACGACACGAACACAGTATATATTTATATATACACACATACGTACACTCGCACACGTACGAGGGCACGGAAGGAGGAGACCGCCGACGGTTTCTCCCGTCCCACGGCGCCAATTTAATGGATCCGACCATCGGTTGGTACCAACCGGAGCAGTACGGCCCCGCTAAGAACCTGTGGATGCACATCTGGGAGGTCGAGAAGGGCATCGACGTACTGACCCTGCGTAACGACGCGAACACCGCGATGGGCGTGCGGCTGCAGCAGGACTTTCTCGCGCTGGACACGAGCCCGGCGGCGGCTGCGACCGCGGCCGGCACAACGCCGTCATCTAACACCGGCACCGCCGGCACCACCACGGGCTTAATCCTGGGTAATAATAACGGCGGCGGATGCAGCGGTAGCAGCAGCAACAACAACGGCAATGCCAACGGCGGCAATGTCAGCAACGGTAACAACGGCCGCGCCGCCGTTCACGGCAATGCCGCCGGCAACGGCGAGCAGCATCGCGTACCCCACAACGCCTGCAACAATTATTACAATCCGTCGCGCAGGAAAAGCGATAATCGCGCGAGCACCTACGGCATGAATTACAACTACGAAGCCCTCGTGGGCGAGTACGGTGGTTGTCCCTGGCGCTTGCCGAATAGGCAGTACTCCAGGGGGGTGATCGGGTGAGTATCCCTGGTAGCCTCTTTTTTCATTTCCGCCAAGAAAACTAGCCACGCGGTCCATATGGCTATTAGTTAGGTTAGGTCACTTTGTATAGAGTGTCTCTCGACGAGACGTTCTTGCAGAGACGATATTCAATGCTAAACGGGACGACGAGTATAGCTGCAGCGAAGCATAGCTAGAAGCGAATGCTGGCGATCGCAGCCTATCATTGAAATATTTGCAATTTCTTTGGGATTTAAATATATTCTTATGTGTGAGGCTTCTTACACGAGATGCCATGCATCTCTTTGCGTTCAGACGTCAACTATTTAGGTTTACAAATAAAGCCACATATAGCTGCAAAAAGTTTGAAGTTGTATCATTATAATTCGTTGGTCTCTAAAAAAATTGTAAACATGTTTTATATTTAGATATAGAATTCAAGGGATGTGTTGGGGGATTATAATCTCAAGGACAAGTATCTCGCAAAGATACCTTGAATAATGCTCGATGGAAATTCTAAACAATATTTGTATAGAAATTTGCATTTATTAATTATGTTTTCATATTTACTAGCAGATAGTTAAACATATTGATTCTTTGTAAGACCGTATTGGATCAATATGCGTAAAGGAATTTATTAAATGAATATTAAAATATAAGAATATATATATATATGAGAATATATATATAAGTATATATATATATAAGAATATATA